ATGAATGAACGTCGATTACATGAATTCGTTGTCAACTGATCACTCGGGGTATGTGGTGTGATGTACCCTGTGCGCGAGACTGGCGACTCGGGTACATAAGCAAGCACACAGGGTACTTCACACCACATACCCATCGAGATCGGTCGACAACATATCGTGTATATTTGTGAAGGATTGTTTGCAGCACGTGTTTTTCATGCAACATCTTGTATTTGTTTTGCTTACAGTAAAACTACGAATATCTGAGAGTACATTATCAACACTGAAAGCCTCAGTTACCCCGTTGCATTAAAAAATTCCGATGATAACGATGCATAAATTGAGTGTTTTATCTGAGGGTACAAATAAAGAAGCCTAACGTTACTAATCGTTTAAAATATTATTTGTCCCCTATAAAGAAGTAGACTCTTCCGTCGCCTAATCAATTTCGCACGTGCAAATTAAATTTCTCGTGTCAACAACGACCTGATTTCAAAGCTAATTCCTTTATCACAGGAGCAGAAAAGTCGAATTGTTTTAAATCCCCCAAATGCGATTGCAATTACTAGTTTTTGGTCAGCATATAATAAAAAACCCAAGTATGTTTTATGACATACTAATGCTAATACTTGTTTTTAATATTACTAAAAGCGTGAATTTAAAACTGTTCCTTTTGTCAATATGGAGCCCGTGTCTGAACTGGTAATGAGTTCAGAGTGAGATAGACAGTTTTGGTTTGTTGTTGCTTTGAATTGTATTTCAGTTGTATAACGACAGGTCAGCTTGTTATGGGAGGAACGCCATCATCATCATCATCATCATCATCATCATCATCATCATCATCATCATCGTGGGGCGGTGGGGTACCCTGGTGGTTAAAGCGTTTGCTCGTCACGTCGAGGACCCGGGTTCGATTCCCAACATGGGTACAATGTGTGAATCCCATTTCTGGTGTCCTCCGCCGTGACATTGCTGGAATATTGTTGAAAGCGGCGTAAAACAATACTCACTCACCTAACTCATGGAGTTGAGGTGAGGTGAAATGGGGTTTAACGTCGCGTCCAAGATTATTGCACTTATATAGCGATGTGCATGCACGTGTATGTGTGTGTGTGGCTGCTTGTACTAGTCCGGACTGTTGCCGATTTATAGTGCTAGCTCACTGAGATACCATGCCGCAGTTTAACATGAATACCCCACTCAGACACAGTATACTGACTCCAAACCGACCAATCCTTGTTTTAGCTCCTTAATGCCGAGCTCCAGGCAGGTAACAACAAGTACCATCTTTTAACATATTTTGGTATGACGCGGCCGAGGAACAAAGTCCGAACCTTCCCCTCTCCGGGCGGACGCTCTACCACTAGACCACGGAGGCGGTCCTAACCCATGGAGAGTCGTGTGCAAACGTGGGCGACCGTCGATCATTATCTCAAAAGCATATAAAGACAAGGATCGGATTGTCACGTGTGACGTAACTGACGAGTCATTATGGGGCCACGGGGTAGCCTGGTGGTGAAAGCGTTCGCAGGACCTGGTTCGATTCCCAACATGGGTATAATGTCTGGAGTCCATTCCTTATGTCTCCGGTGGTGGTTTTTTGGAATGAATACCGAAAGCGACCTGAAACACACTCACCGCACGAGCCTGGTACACACGAAAAAATGGTTGATAGCATGAGCATCTCAACGATATTGGGTCGAAATCCTTATTAGTCCTGATAATCGCAGGTTTGTTCGTACCACGTCAGTGCATGTTGGTTTCAAAGATAATCATTTGATGATATCTAAGGATAATCATCTAAGAATAATTATATAAGCATTATCATATACAGATGTCATCGATGGATAATCACGTGAGGATAAGTATATAAGGATAATCATATATAATATCATCAAAGGATAATCAAATAACGACATTGATAAGGATAGACCGCCACCGTGGTCTAGTGGTAGAGCGTCCGCCCGGAGAGCGGAAGGTCCGGGGTTCGATCATACCAAAAGACGTTAAAAGATGGTACTTGTTGTTACCCTGTCTGGCGCTCGGCATTAAGGGGATAAAACAAGGACTGGTCGGCTCGGAGTCAGTTTACTGTGTCTGAGTGGGGTATCCATGTTAAACTGCGGCATGGTATCTCAGTGTGCTAGCACTATAAATCGGCATCAGTCCGGACTAGTACAAGCAGCCACACACACACACACGTGCATGCACGTCGCTATATAAGTGCAATAATTTTGGACGCGACGTTAAACCCCATTTCACCTCACCTCACCATAAAATGATAATCATCTCAGGATAATCATAGTAGGATATCATCTAAGGATATCATCTGAGGATAATCATCAAACAATATCGTATAAAAATCATAAATATATGAATACCATAGAAGGATAATCAATCATACAAGGATATCATATCGCGAGAAATAAATTGAAATGCACGGCTATCAACACGCGATTATGTACTTCTAAGAAAATGAAGTTATTCGTTTGACTGTTTGATCACATGATGAACCTATTGCAAACATGTACAATGAAATCCAGTTTATACGGACATTCACGCAATCGTCCGGAATCGGGGTATCCGGATATACGGGGTTCGGACTGACGGTAGATTTCTCTATACGCTTCAGTTTCGTTTACTTATATTTTTGATTTTCATGACCCAACCAGTTCATCGTTTAAGAAATCGGAAAGAAGTGATAATGTAATGCAAACATCTAGATATATAACAGCTTGCTTCATGTGTTGTTAATTTAATAAATATATTCAAATAACTCAGGTAAAATCATATTTTTACCTATTTGGTTATGAACCTTTAGGACAAGTACTGAGTCATTGTTCTACAAGCCATGGTTAATTATAAACTTTATTGTAATGTTTGAAATTCTACCACTATCAGTTCCCCGAGTCTTAATTATTGCTGAGATAATGCTTAAACATTTTCAACAATTGGTGAGCATTTTCCTTTTAATTGCTTTCTAATTTTTATAATTTTCCTACACATTTTATAAAAATGTCTAGGAATTTTTAAACATTTTACACACTTATTAAAAATAGTTTTCCTCAAAACTGAGCAAATCTGAATTCACTCGTACTGCTAGACGTCATGTAAATGGTTTATATTCCTAGATATGTCGTTTTTTGGCAGGAGATTATCTTAATACTTATTAATGTTTCAAAAATTAGTATTTTATTGTACGGACGCGTCATGATCCGGGTTAGAATAGGACTTCAGCAACCCATGCTTGTCGAAAGAGGCGACTAACGGGATCGGGTGGTCAGGCTCGCTGACTTGGTTGATGCATGTCATCGTATCCCAAATGCGGCGATCGATGCTCATGATAGCAATCGCTGGACTGTGTGGTCCAGACTCGATTATTTACAGACCGCCGTCATATAGCTGTAATGTTGCTGCGTGTGGCGTTAAACAAAAAAAAAACAATGAAAACACCACGAACGAGTCCCATAATGACGTTTGGCGTCCTCCTTAACGCGGGCAGTCGAGAGACAATGAGTCATGAGCTTGAATCTTGGACAGCGAGACCCCATAGCATGCGGTTATTATTATAATACTACCCGCAAAACGAACGACAAAATGTATCCAAACTTACGGTTTTTCAATATTTTGATATTTCACTTACTTTTATCGTAACCTTTTGTCATATGAAATGTGTGATAAATTATGTATAAAACCAAAAACATGGAAAATATCCTGTCAAGTAGATATTGAATCGCTGAAATGTGAAGCGTACATGTCCAAAGCTAAAATGGAAATGTCCCAAAAAATAACAAAAAGGTCAAAAACAAAAAGCGAAAATTTCAAAAACTAAAATGAAAATATAGAAACGTAATTCCACCGCGGTTACTTTTCTGTATTTTCATTTTTGTTCTTGACATTTCGCTTTTGTTTTTGACATTTTCATTTTAATTTTGGACATTTTCGCTTTACTTTTTAGCGATTCAATATCTACTTTATACATGATATATCACATGTTAGTATGACAAATCGTGTTAATTTGCAAAAGGTTATGATAACAGTTAGTAAAATATCAAAATATTGAAAAACAGACTCCATGTCCCTTATGGGCCACCGTAGAAAATACACGGGGCTCCATTGTATTTGTTTGAAGTGGGGATTCCTACTTGGCAAATGTATCCACACACATTCACATTTGTATCAAATAATAATTTGTGCTCATAATATCAACCACTGGTTCGTCTAGCTCTTGATTATTTATAAGCCGTCGTTATACTGAATGAATATTCCTGACTGCGGCGTTACACAACATTCTCTCACTACACTTTTGTGTATCGAGCGGTTACAATGTGGGACTTGAGCTTGGATGCATTAGCACTGATCTTTGGTCACACAATCAAACTCTTGAGTGAGTGAGTTTGGTTTAATGCAGCTTTTAACAGTATTCCAGTCACAGCGTGTCAGCTTAATGTGGGAGGAAAGCCCGAAGTGATGCAGGTCTCAGACGTTTACCACTTCGGTGAAACCCACGAGCACGGTTATGGTGCTGACAAACCTAGAAACATAATCGGGGCGGACCGGGATTCGAACCCACAATCATAGGTTTCTGACGTGCCTAAGGGACGCAACTCTGCACAGCGAATCGCGGCGCCTTAGACGACTGGGCCACCCGTGCCCCCTTCAACCTCTTGATTGTCGTTGTCGCGTTATGTTTAAAAGCCGTCGTGATAAATCTTGAATTTTACTGAAGGCAGCAAAAAACATCATTCATTCATTAAGCTTTTTTTAAAAGAAGGAGAGGGTGAGTATGGTTTTACTCAAAGTGGCACGGTATCCTAGCGGTATTGGTACGGTATCCTAGCAGTATCACCACGGTACTACACAAATAGACTTCACACATTGTACCCATGTGGGAAATCGAACCAGGGTCTTATGACCATGCGTTACGAGTGACCGCTTTAACCACTAGGCCACCAACCCCCCACTTTAGAAAATAAACACAAACACTTCGTTATATTTGATAATCATTGACGTGTATTTCTTGTAACTTTTTAGTTTCAAGTTCAAAAAGTTATTGGCAAACAGAACTCGTTAAATATACACCCGTCATCTCCACTGCATCGATTTGAAATCGAATCAGAGCGACGGTATCGTAAGACAATCGATCACGAAGAACTACGATCTTGCAAGGGTTGTAATAAATATCTATCTTATATACAAATGGCTGTTATTTACAAATGTACATTCGGCACGATAACTAACATTAACAAATACAGCAATGAGAAAATTAACAAGCACCAGAAAAAACAGACATGTTCAAGTCCATGTAACTCTTGATGAATATTTTCTTATAATTCATGTAGTTTATAGATGTGGAAATACGTCCCGCACGATCGCCTTCAGCAGGTAAGGAAAGGTCACGATGACCTTTTAGGGCAAATCACGTGCATGCATTTGTCTCCCAAATATCCATATTTCAACTTCAGCTGATCCAAGGTTCATTCTCTCAATGATCACAGAGCACTTTAAATATTACGATCACCACATCACTTCGGTTGTCATGGCAGCACTTTGTGTTGGTAGCTCTAGATATTGCATGTATGCCCACAAGTCAGTGTCAAGGTCACGTTGACGTCACTCCATGAAGGAAAGGCCGCTGCTTGAGCCACACTCTTCACCGCTGGACCACTGTGGACCTGGAAGTGGATCAGAAAAAAACATAAGTGGATGCATGTGGACAGTTTGAAGAAAGGTATATGGACGCCAACGAGGGGATGGTAGAATTGCACGCCAATAGTAGAAATGACGTATATACAAATTTGACGCCATTGTTAGAAATAGAGAAAAATTATGAAAACAAAAATCGATGCCTTTCGGAGAACGTGACAAGGAAAACAATAAGTTGACGCCAAGAGTAACAAGAATAAAATAAACAGTGGACGCAACGATCTCCTTTTATCAATACCATACCATACCATACCATACCATACCATACCATACCATAGACACTTGCACATTTGGAGCATTTATGAAAAATTGTATGGTTTATGGTTGAGGGAAGTTTGTTCGAGTAAGGATATTTTTCGGTCAAGATTTCAAAGCATAATGGTTTTATATGAAAGGAGGCGACACATTTTTTTATCAAGGATGTCTGGTGACCCGGAATATCAAATGTCTGTCCCAAGTGCAGTGTCAGATTTTCAACACATTCACAGGCTGGCGTGACGTTTGAGTTGTGAAACAAGTAGGTAGATTATGAAAACTGTCTTATCAAATCATTATTTAAACGAATAAAAAAAACAACCGGGCAAAATAAAATATACACTTGAAAACTGGTTTTGACAAAAAAAATACAAACGTTCTAAAAACATTACAAGGTTGAAAACAATCACCTCAACATTACAAAATTAAAGTGAGGTGAGGTGAATTGGGGTATAACATGAATACCCCACTCAGACACAGTATACTGACTCCAAGTCGACCAGTCCTTGTTTTAGCCCCTTAATGCCGAGCGCCAGACAGGGTAAAAACAAGTACCATCTTTTAACGTCTTTGATATGACGCGGGCGGGAATCGAACCCCTGACCTGTCCCTTCCATCATGAAATACGGGGGCATACTTTCTTTTACCCGACATCTTAGTTAATGGCAAGAATATTAGTGATCACGAGGTGCGAATCTCAATAAACACTTACTATGCTGACTCGTTATTATGGTGAGTGTGTCACGTGGGCTGATACTTCCGGTAGAGTTGTCTCCCTTCTGTTGTTGCTGTTGATACTTCTTCTGCCTCGCTCTGGAATTCTGAAACCACACTTGAGTCACGCGCTTACTAAGTCCTGTGATTTGCGCGATTCTCTCGAGATCTTGACCATCTGGGTTGCTGTCCAGTTGAAAGTTAGCCTGAAGAACTTGGACTTGTTCCTCAGTAAATGTGGTCCGCACCCGCTTCGTCTTTGTCTTCTGACTGCTGTCCGAATCTGTGAAAATGTGCCAAGTCTGAAAATGTACATTGCGTCCAGCTAGAACGGGCTTTGAACGCCTTGCACATTAATGCGTTTCCTATCAAGTTATAAATAAATACATTTTCCTTTTCTTCAAACTGAAATCGTCTGTTTGCATATAAACACTTAATAACGAGTGAGTGTGTGTGTTGGGCTTAACACTGCTTCAAACAGCAGACCTGCGAAGATCCGGGGTAGAATAGGTCTTCAGCAACCCATGCTTGCCGTAAAAGGCGACTAACGGGATCGGGTGGTCAGGCTCGCTGACTTGGTTGATGCATGTCATCGTATCCCAATTGCGTGGATCGATGTTCATGATGTCAATCACTGGATTGTGTGGTCCAGACTCGATTATTTACAGACCGCCGTCGTATAGCTGGAATATTGCTTAGTGCGGCGTTTAACAAAAAAAACAAAAAACAGTATATTTGATATTTTACGGCGCGTCCGCAAATACATATTGAGTTGGAACACAGGTCTTTGCTGAACCTTTTTTGTCACTTTGTTGATAAACAAAGAATAATGTTCAGGGCTAATCTGGGATTCGAACCCACGACACAGGCCTTGAACTACTAACCCACCGGCCCCCGAGCGTAGTGTTTAAATAGTCAAGATCGACATCATTCTCTTAGTCAAAGGCCATTGTGATTTGTTTCCTCACCTTTAGCGGGACCTCCTTCCAGCATCTCAACGTAATGAGTTTTACAGAGGACTCGGCTGTCCTGGAGAGCGAATTCTTCTCCCGTGGACAATTGACGTTTACAGCTGTCGCACGCAAAGCACGCCAGATGATAGACATGAGAGCGTGCTCTTCGCACCCAATCGTTTGGTTGAATATGACGTAGGCATTTTGCACACTTAGCGCCAAACTCTCTGAAAACAAAAACAGTTTTGCAATGTTTTGTACGCCAATTTTACCTAAATAGATATTTTGTAAAACAATCACTAAAATAATCAAATATCGTAATATCTAACTTCTAATATCTAATAACCTGTCTACCTGACTGGATGAATATTTTATTTTTTAGAAAAGATCTACGTATAAAATATACACGATGGAATCATTTTTTTCAATGGATTTTTTCATAAATCCGGGTAAATAAACGTTTTTATGCTTCATGTTCTCATATGCCGAGAATGCAGTGTGGTATTTTATGACAATTTGCTATTGCAAATCTACAATGACGTTACACGGAAAACTGATGGGAGAAGTCAATAAATCGTCACCCGCGACATTAACCATTAACATTTGCAGGCACCGTGGACGCTTGTTATTCATGTAGAATTACGGCCAAATTAGTGTCCCCCAGTGCTAGAATAACACCGCACTGTGTTCCTTATTGGATCTTGGTCTTTGTAACGCGCCTACATAACAATTTAGTCAAGACTTGACCTCTCTGTCAGAGTTTCTGAAGAAACGCCACTCTAAATTCCACCGAGACTTCTCGTTCGGATCTCGCTAACCCATTTATTTATAGTCTATTAGTAACGACTGAAAGAAAATGACAATTTGACAACACCTTTGACCGATAAATTTGTAACATTACCCAAAAGCCCTCAAAACTCCAGGCGAATTAATGCAAAAATGCAACAATAGCGGTACAAGCCGTTGAGGGCTTTGGTCTCAGTGAGGAGTTCTTTTGAGGGTTCGCTCACACCCTTGTTCACCTTTTGAGGGGCAATAAAAGAGCGTAATCTTATTCCTATCACGTGATGCGATATTTGAACTCCTAATTGAAAAGGACGAAGAAATATCAAAGAACGTTCCTCCAATTTTCTTCAAGATCTTCCCCGATCAAAAACGTCGTCTGTAACCTTGCTAATTTTCCCGCGCAATTAGTTGTCGATCGAATGCTGGGTTTCGGTATTCACAGAACCCGCTTTGGGCGATCGACATGCTAACAAAGTCAATTGCGCCTAATTCGAGGAAGAAATGAAATTCATAACTAAAATCTGTGCTGACTACACGATTTTCTGTACGATTAGATAATGCTTGACCTGCCACTAGGGGTCGCTTCTCATACGCGCGTGCATTTCAGGATAGTCGTTAGCCTTTCGTGAGCCCATATCACTTTCGACTGATGTTCGTGTCTTTTAAAAAAATAGTTTATCTACAAAACACTTCCTCGTCGAAAGAACATTAGGTTTGAAACATCCCCCATATAATAAAATATGCGTGTTCTTTTGTTATTACGCGTCAATATTGTTTTAAGTCAGTATGATCATATCTGAGAGAACGATTTAAAAAATAATGACCATCTTCACATTTCACATGAATTTTGATTTATTGTGGAAATAAAATGAAATAAAACGTGTTTATAAATGCTAAAGTTAAAGTTTTCCTAAAATACGTTACACAAAAAAGGAGCGGATTACCCAGGTTTTCATTCATGGTATGTTCAAATATATATTAATATTCTGTACAAAAAAAGAAATTAATATAAAATACCGTTCCGCAAAGGAAAACACATCAAAGTACCTGTCTGTTTCAATATTGTTTGCTAGACGTCAAAAGAAATTTAACATAACTGAAGTCTACTGCAAGATAAGATGATATTTACCTTGTGTAATCAACTCGGCAATAGATGTTATCCTCTTTGATAAAACATGTCGATTGTCTTTCCAGCTGGGTTTGACACACGCAACATCTGAGGCATTGCACGTGCCACGATCGCCCGCTCACCCGCAACAGATAACGATCCGCTATGACGTCACCACAGCCAAAACAGATATCCCCTTCTGTCTGCAAGCAACAGAAATAGAAATAAATGAAGAGGTCCAACATGCATATTTTGTCAATTAATGAAATATAATTCTTGTTAGCTTAACATCAGTGTAAGTAAACGGATTTCATTCACTATTTGCTAATACTCATGCAAGGATGATAAATCATTTATTTAACTGAAGCGACTAGCTGAAATATGAATCTGAAATATGGCTTACAAATCCAAAATGGATATGTGTACAATTCTAGATTTGAAAGCATATTAAAATTAAAATTAAAATAAAAAAATACTCTTTGCAATTACACCATTCGCTTATAATATTTACGATTAAAAATGCCCCAAAGGACAATGTTAACATGTTTTCAATAGTTACGATTTTCAAACAATATAGATAAAAGCACTGGAAATGAAAAACAGTAACATTGCATGTAATAAAAAAGTGTGAAACGCGAACATGTATATTTTTTTCAATTGAAACATCAATTAAGTTAAAGCACAATCAGCTGTCTAAAACAATATGAAAATAAAGTCGTTTTACAAATAGTTTTACCCTTCTGAAACATGATGATAAAATTTATCTAAAACAGTCGTGCGCTTCAAGCCAGCAGAATACCTTTCTCGTTGTCTCAAGAAATCTGTCATGATAACAAATGTTATGACATCCCGACTGGGTGAAGTAGGGGGGTGTAGGATTCCTACACTGTCCCCCAAACCTGTGAGCACCGGACCCCGCTGGGACAGCAAACGCCCCGTAGTTGTAGTTCGTTATCATGGACATAGCTTGGAAACGTTGAGTGTTTTTTTCCGTCTGTTTCGCTTTCCAGGCCGTTATTTATGAGCGTCAGAGATAATATAATGCTATTATTTATATGATTCAGTGTTGTGTTTCTATGACGTAGTCGGCGCTGGAAACGCCTTTCAGTACGCAACTGTATATGTGTGATAACACACAGGTGCGTAAATTCGAATAACAGCCCTAAGGTTACTTAACTGTATCGACTTGACGGGATTGTTGACACTTTTAAAACGTGACTGAATTTTATTTACATATAATAATAAAATAAATCGAATATAAAACCGAATTTAAACAAAACGAAATCGAAGACATCCGTCGGAACACAGCGGCTTATGTCTGGGGGTTATGAAACGAAATAGACATGGTATCTAGAAAAATGGATGCCACCATATGTGAAATGGACATGAAAGTTACATCATGGTTGATTGACATGTGGAAAGTCATATTACAGAAACTCGCCGACTACGCCATGTCACATGCTCTTACGGCTTAAGGGTCGGCTTCCTTTTATCTTGAAATCAATTAACACTCGTCGTGTGTTTTGTCAGATTAGAAGAAAAGAATCATTCGATTTGCGCAAGGGTGGGCTTTCAGTGTCGCGCAAGTCTAAAATAAAATCCTTTACTCTTTTCCCCTCAATGGGTCGTACCTTTCTCAAGCCGTAAATGTACGAACTAAGTCGAATGAATAGATTGACAGTAATGTGTTTCCGGGCTAGGCCGTTTTCTTCCCATGGCATATTGTCGTCTTTAATGGAAGCAGAGAGGGCTTGGACTCTGCGAATAGCAAAACGACAGGGGTTATGTGCATTTCATTTAAGAAGGAAATAACCTAAGTGAAAACGAAATGCACCCAGTAAGGTTACACGCGCGCTCAGAAGTCGCGCTGTATACCCTGCTTCCGGTGAGTCGGGCCAAGAAAGAGGACTTCCGTATTGCTTGAAATTACTTCCTCGTCTTAGAAGACGAGTAAGAAAATCACGTTAAGACTGTCTTTGAGAGTCGGGCATGCGCTGAATGCTTAGAAAGCTGAGCTACGTAAAATTGTGAAAATTCGTTTTCCCAAGACAAGTTCGACACGAAAATTCCGCGCTGTTGGGCGTGAAAGTTCTCTATAGCGAACATCGCAGCCCTTTTATTACATTTTCGCTGCGTCGTTCTAACGGAAGTCTTGTAAAACTAGGAAATGGGGTCCACTCGAACATCGTGATCTTTATTTCTATGATTCTAGAAAAAGAAGCTAGGTTTGTATTGAAGGTTTGAGATATCACTTAACCACAGGATAGAAGGGGCATAAAAACTCCACCTCGAACTTCCACAGCCGTGAAGTACACTTCAACTATACATGGCTAGATTTTAGTTTTAGTTACGCTATCAGTTGAACTAAAAATAACAAAGCCGGAAAATGGCAGAAAACCTGCGTTGATATATTTGAACGGGTGATTTTGTACATTTAAGATATTTTCTATCCACGTTATCATCATGATATTTCATATTAACTATATACAATTTTGTCACAAAAGTGATATCAATTTTAAATGAATTCTAAAATTGTAGATGAATTTCCCATCAATTTCGCGTGCGTGTACATTGTAGATCAGTTTAGTTCCCGTGTAACAGACAGTGTACAACTATCTAGTGTGTTTTTTTAAACAGTGTTGTATATGATCGCCAAATGTGTTTCATTGCTAGAAATATTTAATTCATTTCATGTCTCATTCAAATTTGACTAAACATGTATTTCACGGTATATTTCTTAAATTGAGGCACAGGCGGAAAAGTTTAGATGAAAGGTTTAATTCTCTTCACGGGTGACATCCTGCCATCGACAGCGAATGTCATCAAGATTCACCGAAGCGTGTTTAATGGACACTTCACGTGCTCGCGACAGTGCGACTTAATTCAATCAGTTCAATCTAGTTAACTGTAAAAACATTTCACAACGACAGAGAATAAAACCAATTGCGCGTTCTTTCAACCTCGTTGACAAATTTTCATTAATGTGCAATGGGCCTTGAAACTTGACACGTGTTTGTTAAAAATCAACACTCGTCACAAGTGATTTCTTTCATGTACATTTCAGAATTGTTGTCTTTGACGGTGAAATATACCGATGTTCATTTCAAAGGACGAAAATTAGGCGTTGTGTCAGGTATACCGCGTTCCACAGAATTCTTTATTTTTGAAGGACCTTAAACGGAGGAAAACACCACGAACTTCACATTGTCATATACAAATGTTTTATCTCTCACAGTCTACTTGATAGTGGAACGCTTATAATTATTTTAATTGGCAGTTTGAAGTACTTTTTGACAAAGTGTCAACTAGAATAAAACCTATTTAATAAAAACACCTGGTCATTCCTGCATGTTGGATACAAGCTAAAAATATGGGTGAAAATTATTTTTATTTAATTCTAATTTCAAGATTAATACTGTAAAATTCGACAACTTATACATTTATCAGATATTTATTTTAATGTGAAGTTATAGAAAAAAATATTCGAATATTTTTTATATAGGTAAAACAGTTTACAATCGATGGGGCTCACCTTCTTTATCGAAACAGAATGATGAATTTGAAGTAACATATTGGAAATATACATCCATCGATAGGATATCTTAGATAGTATGTTCGAAATATAATAACAGTCCCAACGAAACACGGTCACCTGAAAGAAATATGAAAACATGAAAACGAAATATGAAAACGTACCTTCATCAGTTTTACTTGTAAGTGTTTTTCATGCGAACTTGACGAAAACGAATCGTCTTCATAATCAGATGACATCATATCCACCGACATGTCCGACATCGTCACGTCTTGAAATCCACAAATATTATTTCTGATGACACAATTGTCCAACGGTCCGTTTAGTTGTATATATCAGTAAAGCTCCCAGTGGAGATGTCTATTTCAGACTCATCACTTTTGATGGTCGAACCTCACGTGCAACGCTTTATACACCCGAAGTGACAAGTGTTCACTCAGTTACCAAAACATCGCTACATTCTTTGACAGATGGTCCCAGCCAATGAGATTGTGCAAGTACGAAGAACACCCCGCTGATTCGTCGCCGGCTGACCAAGTTGACCAATGAGAACGCCCGCTGTGAATTACGTCATCCAACCGTCCCGTATCGATTAATTAAGCTCGTGCCGTAGCGGTCCGTTAACGCATCTCAGAGAATTGTGTTTTCACAACAAATTATATGTATTTTTAAGGATGTTTTATTCATTGTTTCATCTTGATAGGGATTAGTGCTAATTTCGCCGTTGAAACTAATTAGTGACGTGTATTTATTTAGTGATGACAGCATGTTTATTTAGATGTCCTAATTGTGTTTGTTTAATATTATACTCGTTGAATCTTCTATCTTATATGCAGATGGAATTATTCAGTACTTTTGGATAGCACTGAAAACAGAAAACTAAATATTTTTATCTTCCCAGTGCTTGATTAGTCGTAAGACATTCTTTTGTCTTCAGGTTAATTCTGCATGTTATAAATTGGTAGTGAGTAATAAAACTATAAATACTATAAATTTAGAATTGTGTTGATTATTGTGGATATATTTTCCGTAAATGTTTAATGTATTGATATTCCGCCCTGTCTATACGTTAAAACACTTCTCTTTTAGACTTTTAACAACGGATGCAGAATATAATATGCGCATACTTTAAAAAACGAAAGTTGGCATAGACCTAACTCTGTTTCGAAACCCTGTTCTTAAACACAGACACATATAATCTGTTTCTTTCAGACCTGTAACAAGTCACAACGAGTCCCTAATACCATGCCGAGTTAATTTCATAGTCAATATCAAAGCCGTTGAAATTGATCACATGCTCTAAAACAATCTCAATGCTATAAACCTGCTATGAGTGCCTGTAAACCCGTGTCTATTTCCCGCAGAGCAAGGCGAAAAGTCATTGTCTTTATTCCCTAACCTGGTTTCTTACATAACCCACAACAAAAGAAAATGGTAGCGGGAGCAAGTTTGTCGACTGGTAATAGTTTTAAGACTTGCCGTTAATCGTATTTCCGTACTTAGGACTTGCAGAGCCTGACTGAAAGCTTTTGTTGAGGGTGGCGATTAAAGATTTCGAAGATAATGTTTGCTTTACCCCAGATCCGTACATGTTGGAACATATTGTGTAAGTTTACCTGGATCACGTGGATGTGATGCATGCTTTTCATGCTGAGGACAAGTATTGTACATTTCAGGAGAATGAGAAATAAGTCACAAACTAAAACTTGCACGGACAATTCGTGTACATATCATTTCACCTTATCTCAACGAAACAAATACATTTTTATTTTGTTCAATTTATTATGAACTTTCTTCAAATCTTTCCATCTTCAGAATGTTAAATGCATATTAATGTGTCTAGGTTTTTATCATTGTTATGTCAAAACATCATATTAATATATTTTCTCACTCCCATCATTCTCGGAAATCTGCATTATGCCATAGGGGGTTCAGTAGTATTTTTTACAAATCCAAGAATAATATTTAAAAATTATTATTGATAATAAGACCATCATTCCCATTTCAGTCCATCCCTTATTCAGACCCGTGAAGATCCGGGGTAGAATAGGTCTTCAGCAACCCATGCCTGTCCCCCGTGAAGATCCGGGGTAGAATAGGTCTTCAGCAACCCATGCTTGCCCCTAATAGGGGACTATGCTTGTCGTAAAAGGCGACAAACGGGATCGGGTGGGCAGGCTCGCTGACTTGGTTGATGCATGTCATTGGTCCCAATTGCGTGGATCGATGCGCATGATGTCAATCAGTGGATTGTCTGGTCCAGACTCGATTATTTTCAGACCGCCGTCATATAGCTGGAATATTGCTGAGTGCGGCGTTAAACAACAAACCAACCAAAACCATCCCTAATTCCTTTCTCGGATTTATTACTTCGGGCTTTCCTCCAACATTAAGCTGACACGCCGTGATATAACTGCATTAAATACTGTTCAAAGCGGCGTTAAACACATATCACTCACAGTTCTTCCAGCCAGTGCTTGGAGACGTGAAGGTTCCTTAGAATTGAGGGTTTCCTCATTAAACTATATTTATCTAACTTTTTGCATAACTGTGTTTTAGTGAATATGCGTTAGTCTAGGGGACAACGGATCAAAATGTGTTACAGTATTCTATGTACGATTAAGAACTAACTATAAAGAGGATGGGGACCGAATATTGCTGTCATCACGCCGATGATGTAGAGTGTTGTTCATGATTTCAATCACTGGTTTGCATGACCCAGACACTCACTCGTAAAAGGACGTAAAAGGAAAAATAGCGGTGGAAATTATATGAATTGATCAGTGATGACACCAGGTGTTCGCTAAGTAGGGGAGCATGTCTTTCTCTACCGGTAATACCACCATTCACTCACTCACATAATTTATACAACAACTACAAGTTCAAACATCATATCTTTTGCCTGCGTTAGATACATGGTGGTACTGCCATTTGTCTGCGAAAGGGACAGTCGCGATGACGTTTGTGCGTCATCATCCATCCACGGCTGTGTTTGTTTCGCACTACACATACCATGAAGTTTACAGTGCCAAGTCAGATGGGATTAAGTGAGGCATCTCTGATATTAATATCTAGTAACAAATATATTTTTCTTCTCAGAAGAAATGGAACGGAACTATTTTCGATTAATAAACCCCGAAAGAATGGAAACAAATCAACGATTAACACGTTTCTCATTTCTAGGTCTATCAAAGTTGACCATTGATAGGATACCTTGCCATCGTGTGCTCAGGATATGGACAATTGCGATGCACCGATAGTTCGATAAATCGGCACACCCCAAGGACAACATATCGTCGTTGACAAGCCTGCGCAAAACAACTCGACTGTTGTGTTGATGCGAAGGTATACTCAAACAGAGTGAGTGAGTATGGTTTTACGCCGCTTTTAGCAATATTCCAGCAATATGAAGGCGGGGGAACAACAGAAATGGGCTTCACACATTGTACCCATGTCGGGAATGGAACCGGGGTCTTCGGCGTGACGAGCGAACGCTTTAACCACTAGGCTACCCGACCGCCCCTATATACGCAAACAGAAAAGTAATGCAACCGTGATCATATGAGCCGGTAGCTCAATAATAATAATAATAATAATAATAATAATAATAATAATAATGTGAGATGTCAAGACATACGTGGAGGGATCAAAGAGAAAAACATAACTCACATTTTCTTTCCCTTTCAAACTGTTGTACATCTCTAATTGGTCAGTATTAAATACCCAGACATTTCACCATAATCCGAGTGAGGAACGCAAAAATTGAAATTTTGAATTTGCTAAAATATCATTTAAACATGTTGAAAAAGCTCGGCGGTCTCTCTTCATCCAAATTAAACACCAGTCCGCTTTAAATCTTTAATGACAAACACAAGTTTTGATTTGTCTGATTCGAGATATTAATAATGTGATCATAATTATGTTTATGATTTAGTATATAATCTTCCCAGATGGTCTAAACATACAGGGGAACCTTAGACAGAAAATTACACACGGTGATCAGAAGTTTCGGGATGATTAACCCTAGGCCCTCTAAATACCAATTATATGTTATCATCCTGGTCAATGAAGTGTACTCTTTCCGATTATTCTTTAGCAGTCGACAGAATGAAATATACCGAGACGTGCATATAAAACGTAACTAATCTCGCTTGTCCACCGAAACAAATTCCATTGGGAGTAAAAGGAAAAAAGCGGTGGAAATTATGTGAATTGATCAGTGATGACACCAGGTGTTCGCTAAAAGGGGAAGCATGTCACTCACTCACTCACTCACTCACTCGCTCACTCACCCACCCTCCCACTCACCCACCCACCCTCCCACCCACTCACTCACTCACTCACTCACTCACTCACTCACTCAAAAAAAAAAATCCCCCATGTGTTTTTGCCAAGGGCTGAACATCGACGCCAACATAAATCTTCCGAGATCTTTAAGGTATTCGTCTTAAACGAGATATCGAGTTAAAGGAATTCGAAATGTTGATATTTCATTGAATACACATAAACATGTAATAATGTTTCTGTAAAACATAGAAAAACAAATCCTGAGCCGTTGTCGATGTGTGACTGTAATTAGTGTTTGCAGCGTATTCCAGTGCTCTCGTTATGCACACCTTAGTGTGTACGTGTGTGTTGGTGTGGATGTACTGCTCGTGTGATCACGCCATGAAGATATTTACTGTGGTAGAGTCAACTTGGTTGCTGTTCGTCAGCAAATTCTGTTTTGGCCTCATATCCTCGAGCACAACTGTACTGAGACTACAATTCATTGTTTAGAATCGAAAAAAATGTTTTTACAAATTTGGCTGAATGATAATATAGATCTTAACAAAAACACACTTTACAATCATAATAAGGTTACAGCATACAGTAGTGAGTGAGTATGGTTTTACGCCGCTTTTTAGCAATATTCCAGCAATATCACGGCGGGGGACACCAGAAATGGGCTTCACACATTGTACCCATATCGGGAATCGAACCCGGGTCTTCGGCGTGCCGAGCGAACGCTTTAACCACTAGGCTTCCCCATCGCCCCTACAGCATACAGTAGAACACGGGCAGAGCGAACAAATAGATACACGGAACTGTTACAAAATCTTCGATTCCTCTCCTCCATGTTTTAAACATGGTCAACTACAATGAATGTACGCATTTACATTTAGTGCTCCAGCTATTTTTTGTTTAACAAACCGTTAAATTTGTACAATAAAAGAATATATTAAATTTAACTATTGAACGAGAAATACAAAGTAGACACACTGTAGCCGTTGTATCATTGTGTTGATTATTATTACGAATACAACTCACTGAAAATCATGACGTACAATTCGGAAAATACATACAGTGAGTGAGTGAGTATGGTTTTACGCCGCTTTTAGCAATATTCCAGCAATATCACGGCGGGGGACACCAG